TATATAAATAACAAATTATACAAATATGTTTAAAATTTTTTTGCGTCTAAAATGGCGGCGCATTGACCCACTTGCGAAATCCTTTTTTTTATAACTTTAAATCGGTGTACAAGATTCCAGGCATACAGTTTAAGCTTGAAGAAAATACAAAAAATTTTCATTAACTATATATTAAAGATTAGAGAAGTACAAAGGGATTTTTCAAAATATTAATTTTTCTTAAAATAGCAGCTATTTTATAAAAAAAACTTACATTTTTGCCTTAAAATTTACGTATAAAATTATTAATTGCAAAAAAAGTTTTCAATATTTCAAAAAAAGCCTACGTACTTCTCTGCAGAATGTATTAAAGAATATTCTGTGAAAATTTCAAGTAAATCGAATGAAAACTGTAAGAGTTATGTTGTACACCGATTTTAAAAATATTGTTTTAAGAAAAACGTATTTAAAGTTTTTCAAGAGGATTTCCTGTCTATAAAAATAAAAATTTTTATTTATTTTCAATCTGTGATGCCTGCCCCATAAAGCTGTTCTTCCATCTCTGCATTAGCCTCATCAACTTCTTTTCTAGCTGACAATAACGATTTTCTGACCTCTTTTGCTGCGCCGGTGAGACTGCGTTCGGCCATTTTAACGCGCCATGCATCCGCTTCCTCACAAAAATTGTAATAGTTAGGGCCCACTACGAGATTCAAAACTTTCATAATTTTCATTATACTCCTGAATCCAAAGTTAAAATTGCAAACAGTAATATTTGTTACAATATCAAGTATCTTTTTTCCACTTGAATAAGATTTTGGAGCCAGTGCCCATACATTAAAACTCTCATTTCTATTCTGTGTAAAGCCTCCTAATCTCGATAAAAGTTTAGAGTTGCTCAGCTCTTTAATAGGCTTGACAGCATCAAAAACAATAGAATTCACTGGAGTCTCGTGTTTATATTCTGAAAGCTTATTAACTGTCTTCGTTTTTTGGTAGGAACACCAAGATTTTTCGCCAGTAGGACAAAAATCATGCTGCGATTTTTTGTCAGTCGAATTTTTGTAATACAATGTTGCCTAGATTTCTTTCTTCATTTTCTCGACCGAATCGACATTACGCCTGACCATAATAAAGTGCCAATTTATCAATTAATGTCCCAGTAAGTTTGCCCTTTTCGCCTAGGCCTTTAGTATTTTTTTTTAAATTCCTAAGCCGAGTACCCATGTGTTTTTGCACATGGCCTATACACTCCTTTACACTCCTTTACACTTATTTTTCGATAGATAAATGGTCTTATATACTTGCGAAACACAAAGGACGCTAGCATGCTTCGAAACTAGAGCCATCTGGCAGCGCGACGATGCGCTTCGCTAAGACAGCTCTAAACAGCATGACAGGGGTGCAATTTCATTATAAAACTATTTTTATTATATTTTTATGATTAAAAACTAATGATTTAAGCAAAAAAAATTCGATTTTTTTAAACCTCAGAGATGACCTAACCCTTTAAATTAGAAGTTGACGCCAGTTCTTGATATCACATCTTTTGTACCAATATAAAATTTATTACTAAAAAAATTAATAGATATCGTAAATAGAAATTTTTGTATAAAACTCTTTCTTTTATATAAACAAGAAAAAGGATACGTGAACTTGGCGTTATTTTTCATCTTTTTTAAAAGGTAATTTTGTTAGGATATCACTCATTTTTTTAGTAACTAATAATATCTATTATTTAGCATATTTGAAACATTATTATACTTTATATATACCAGAAAGAATATACAATTAATAATTATTTTTTAATAATCTTTTGTAAAAAAATATATACACATTTTTGCTCCTCTAAGTCATTTTTTTCTTGTTAATTTGCGCATCATCAATGTTTATCCATCCATTAGACATTTCATCTCTACATATATTTGTATAATGACCATCTTCAAAAGATGATCCATGATGAAAAATGGCATTCATTACCTTATAAAATTGTCCCCCTACTGATATCATAGTTGTTGATACTGCACGCAAATTAAATTGATTTTATTTTTATTAACTTTGTTCTGAAAATAATTGTAAATGAATAATAAATTGTTTTTCGTGTCATGTTAATTC